GTTGTAGAAGACTTGTGTAGGGTTTAGGCGTACGATGCTTTGGGGGGTATTTGGGCCGGTCGAAGGAAGTCGTGTGCCTCGTTTTTCGTCATCGGGTATTGTTGGTGTAGGTTTCAGCTCGAAGCCCAGCTGGACGTGCTACAAAGGCCAAGCTTGGGTTCCAGAGCACGGAGGCTTCTCTCTCGCATGTCACAGCATACTGAAAGCGGGTAGAGGACGTCGCATCTCATACTCATTGGGGACATCCCTATATAATTCGACATCCTCATGGCTAGCAGCATGCGATGCCCCAGTCTTTGGGTGGTGGTCGTCCTTGCGGCCGTGACATCCGTGCTCCAGGGCTGCGACGCTGGCCAGGACCAATGTGGCGACCTCAAGAAGGAGGTCAGTGACCTCAAGAAGGAGCTCAGCACCTGCCAAGAACGCCTGGGAGTGTGCCGCAGTCAGCTGAAGGTCTGCATTCAGGATGAGAAGCAGCTCATTGATGACACCTGGGCTGCTTGCGATGCCAAGTACCGCGACCCAGCCGCCCTTGCTCACAAGCTTGATGCGTGCACTGGTGACAAACAGGCTCTTGTGAGTGAGTTGAACTCTCGCACCCTCCAGATTCGCTACGGCGCTCTACCCCTTGCGCTGGTGGCCTTCATCGCGGGCATCTACACGCACAAATGGCACCGCCACTGCGCAGAGAGGCTTCGCAGTCCTTTCACTAACCATGGCGCAACCGCTCCGGCGGCGGACCCGCGGCAGGCCGTGCGAGACCCTCCTTAACGAAGCTATACGGACTAAGGAGGATTTTGTAGGGCCCAAAGGCGGGGAAGACTTCGGTCGCAGAGGCCGGGTTGCTCGACGGATGCTAATTAGACAAGTGAACCGTGTGAATAGCATGAAAGACCCTTTGCCGACTTCAAAGCAGCGTGCCGTGGTGATTTTGGCAAAGGCGAACAAAAGCCGACAACAAACTTGCAAACTTCATCCTTTCCTGGAGCTCTGTGATGCAAGCCTCAAAATCCTGAATCTGATTGTCAAACCAGATGATTCCTAAACCCAAACTACACTTGAAGTGACAGTGCTGATATGCATGGTAGCTAACACACACCGTCTCCGCGACCACGACAATGTAGGACCTGTGAGCCTGCGGCAAGCTGCCAGAGCTAAGCCTGCATGGGATCTCGCTCTTTCCCGATCACAATTCAGGATGCAAAATGTTGCCAGGGAAGGAGGCCTTTCATCTCTGGGGGGAGGGGGGGCCCTGTCTTCCCTCAAGGCGACATCAGGCGAGCCCACATAAACCCCATCAAAAGCCTCTTCGTAAACTCGTGGTGCTTTTTGCTTGGTTTCGGCTCTCCAGCCCTGTGGGGCCATCCCTTCGCCCCCTCCGAGGCCGGAGGGAGTTCCAGGCGGTTCAGGGTTTAAGGGGGTTTAAGGGAGCATAAGGCTTTGAGTTAGGGGTTCAGGACCTCTCCTGCTTGCGCTACTAGGAGCGGATGGGGCGTGTTTCTTGGTGCGATCCTGGCAATGACTTCTCAGTTCAAGTCGCGGAAGCCTGATGGGTGCAGGTGTGCGTTCCCCGTACCTGGTAAACCATGCAGCTTAGAGTGTTGGCTCTCCTGGCCGGGAGCCCCAGATTCTGACATAAAGACAGGGTTGCGAAAGTTCTGCCTCTTAGAGGAAGCCAAGACGTCACCCCCTAAAGCCATAGGCCAGAGCATCTAGGAATCTAGGAGCCTCCGGCTCAGGCCGCCGACCCAAGAGGGGGAGGGAGGGGGGGGAAGTTAGATAATGAGAGGTGGAAGTGTAGCGCTGCGAAATCTGGCACGATGTGCCGTGGTCCCTAAGCTAAGCTGCAAGCCCCAAACCCTGAACGCGAGACACAAGTCGAGTCGGTCAGGACAGTCGGGGGGCTGCGGTGTGGGGGAGTTGGTGGGGGTCTCTGCAAGGCCTGGAGTTAAGCAGCAGATCGGGGGGTTCACTATGGCTGTCATGACCCTAAGCCCTATAAAGCCCTGAACCCACATGAGTGTGCACGGGGAGAAATAATCAGGATTCTACAGTGTTTCAGTTTAGTAACTACCCAGGTGGTTTGCACTTCTGCAATTCGTTCTCATCACCTCCACACTTGACCCCACTCCAGCTCCACCAACAAATATGACAGTGAACCGCATGTCGGCAGGTTCCGGCGATCACCCAGAACCCTCAAGTGGCCCTAAACGCCCAAACTCCAAACCCCCAGCTCCAAACTAAACCCTAAACCCTAAGCTTTTTGTATTTATGTGTTTTTATTATGTATATGAATGAATATATATATATATATATATATATTTATTTGTTTATTTATTTATTTGTTTTGTGTTTTTTTTGGGGGGGGAGCTTCTTGCAGCTTCTGCCCTAAGCCAACACCTTGGGGGCGGCTGAGATCTCGCTGAGGCCTCCTTGGCCAGTCTGGTAGGTGCCGCTGACAGTGCGCCCAGAGGTTGGGGGTTTAGGGTATAGTGTTTAGGGTTTAGGGTTTAGTGTTCAGAGGTTGGGGGTTCTCGCTTCAAGGGTTTGGGGTTAAGGTTTGAGGGTTTCGGGGTGTTAGGGTTTAGGGTTTCGGGTTTCGGGTTTTTAGGGGTTTAGGGTTAAGGGTTTCGGATTTCAGGTTTTAGGGGTTTGGAGAATGGTCAACATTACAGGGTCTAAAACGCCCTGCGCAAAACAAACCAGACAACCCCCGCCTGGACGATGAATCTCCCAAGTTCTGACGGTTGGGATTGTGCTTGTAGGCCTGAGGCAGGCCTGAGGCAAATCTTTTGGATGTTTCGGGGCGTCCAGTAGAACAGCATCGTTGAAGTCTTGCCACATATTGGGTTTAGGGTTGAGGGTTGAGGGTTTAGGGTTTCTTGGGTTTCAGCTTTCCCGGTCCCATTGGGGGTAGCTCCTCCCCAAATGCGCCGCATCCTTCCAGCCACCCTGAACCTTTCCACACGGTGGAAGCTAGTCAGTCCGTGACTCGGACCCGTTAACCCGAAAGCCTTTGGGACGTTCCCCACTAACAGTCCTTAGTAGGGATTGTCATAAGGGGGTACTGGAATCCCTATGAAGGACTGTTAGTAGAAGGGGGAACATCCCAACAAAAGCCCATTCCAGGCCTTGCTTGAAGGATGCTTCGAGGGTTTTCTGGGCCTGGAGGTAACACGAGCCAGCCCTCTCAACAATTCAGGGACTTATTTTTGGGTCGCAGAAGCCGAGTGCTGAGCCTCAGCCCGCAAGTTAATGTTGGAGTGCTGAAAGCATATGGGGGTTTACGATATTAGGGGTACCTTCTTGGGGTCCTTACAATATAAGGGGATCCTACTATTTGGGGGTCGCCATTAGTTAGGGGTCCCTTCTTTTCGTAATCCCCCGTATGAAACCATGCCAAACGTTTGGACGACCCGCAGCATTTGTGCTTCGATCTTGATTGGGCACACAAGTGCCTCATGTTCCCTTCAGCGTTGCCTGAACAGAGGGCGATGCCGAAGGCGAGGAGCTTTTGCCAAGTGCTTTCGGGAAATCCCAAACCCTATAACACCTTAAACCCTAAACCCTAAACCTTTCGATGCCAAGCCGGGTGCCTGTTTCGGTCACTGGTGCTGCGCTTTCAAAGTTGCAGGGGCTCCAGGGCTCTACGTTGCTGACAATCCCCCGTTGAAATTACGCGTCGCTGCTCGCCAGCGTGTAGGTCATGCCGATCGCGCAGTCGCGCATGTCGTATCATATCTTTCAGCTTGTTCAACCTGAAAACTGTCACTGTCCTGTGTTAAGCCCCTTGCGTCTCGCGAGCCCCACACCCCACCCACACGCCCTTAATCTCCCCCACCCCCACCCTCACCCTGCTAGTCCTTCGCATCCCTGTCGATGTGTTAGAACCCTAAATCTGGGATGTTCCCCCTTATACTAACTAAGACTCTTATCAAGGACTGCTAGTAGAAGGGGGAACATCCTAACCCTAAATCCTAAACCCTAAACCCTAAATCCTAAACCCTCCTTTTCAGTGCCGTCCTTTTGGGCAGGCATCCAGCTTCTGGCATCTGGCCTTGGCAGACTGGCTTGGAGGCTGCTGGGCCCTCACTCTTGGACCCTAAACCCCTTAGACCTGAACCCTAAACCCTAAACCCTGAACCCTAAACCTTAACCCTAAACCCTAGCCCTGAACCCTAAGTAGCCCTGAACCCTAAAATAGCTACAGAACCCAAAGCCCTCGGTCTTGGCGCTTTAAGCCTCTGAAGAGCCCCCCAAGAACCCCAAGAGCCCGGATCTCTGAGAGCCTGAAGCCGACATAGGCGAGGCTTTGCAGCCCACAGCTAAAAGTTTGTAAACACCCCTGGGTTTAGGGTTTCGGGTTTAGGGTTTCGGGGAAAATTGGGCTATTTGTCTGCACTTATGATTGGGTGATTAAGTACCCTAAACCTCCAAGTGGTGCTGGGCTCAGGGTTAAATCCTAAACCCTAAACCCTAAACCCTAAACCCTAAACCCTAAACCCTAAACCCTAAACCCTAAACCCTAAACCCTAAACCCTAAACCCTAAACCCTAAACCGACGGAAGGCTTCAGATCACTTCCCTGGAGATGGTTCCTGCTCATAGGCGCAGCTCAGCCTTCTCAGCCTTCGGTCAAGGGGCTAAAGGGAAAACCCTTATATGGGACCTTGGGGGTTATTGGGGGTTACTTAAGGGGCTACTTAGGTATATCTTAGGTATATAGGGACTATTTAAGGTGTATATATATATATAAGGGAACTAAAAAGGGGAATAGATTAAGGTTGGGTGCATTCCTATCAGTCGGTTTCGGGTTTTGGGTCTAGGGTTTAGGATCCTATCTCGAAGCCTCAGCTAGAACCCCCGAATGATTGAAGGTCTCTAGTCTGCGGGTCCTGGCTGTTAAGTTCCATTGGGATAGTTCAAGGCTTCAGCTTTGCGTTTAATGGGGGTGAGTGCGGGGGGGGGGGGGGTCTTGCAGCAAAGGTCGTAAAACGGTTTGAGACTTCGAGGAGTTGAAGGCTTCAGGGCTGAGGGTGTGTAAGCAGAGCAACCGAACGATGGACGATGGAGCTTGCTGATTGCGCAGGGGGGCCGGGAGGCATGAGCTCATTCTGTATATATATATATATATATGTTGTTTTTTAAGCCGGGGGGGGGGGACCCCAGCTCTCAAACTCTCAAACGGACACCATGAATGAGGGGCGGATCGAGGGGGACGTTTTGGGACTCAAAGTCGGCAATCTTGGGGACAAAATGAACCAATGAACCCTAAGATTGGGGACCCTAATACCCTAGACTACTGCAACTCCTAGTAAGGTCCATAGAACAATGAAAGCCCTTGTAGGGTTCATGTCGTCCCCAAGGAAGAAGGATCTGAAGTCTAGGGTTTAGGGTTTAGGGTTTAGGGTTTAGGGTTTAGGGATCTGAAGTGGCGCTGAGGTCGGGATCATCACTGCAGCGCTCTTGCGAGTGGTGCTCGCCCGGCCACGAAGAGGCAGCGTGGTTTGGGCTCCTCGGCCTCCTGGTTTAGGGTTTAGGGTTTAGGGTTTAGGGTTTAGGGTTTAAGGTTTAGGGTTTAGGGTTTAGGGTTTGGGGTGTATGGGTTCACGATTACCCATACCTTCGAGACCCTAGAACAAATCGCTTCAGGAACTGTATAGGACTCCGGGATGTGCAAGAAGCCTCCCAAGCATCCTTCGTATTGTTTCTTTGGGGAGGGAGGCGGGCGCCCGCTGCAATCCTTGGGGACGAAATGAACCCTAAAATTGG